CTCGAGTGGAAGTGAAGATTGCGGAAGACATCACTACCATCGAGGACTTGGGAGGTAACTTCGCCCAAGTCCAAGGCGATGTTCAAGGAATGGCTGGTCGGTTGACAAGCTTGGAGATCAACCATGATGGGATGCGGGAAGAGCTTGTGGCCCTCATCAACAACACCATCACCGCCTCCATGAACAACGCCCTTGAAGTTGTGAAAGAGCAAGTCCAGGCTGAGCTGGTCGGCGTGAAGGAGGAGATTGCAGACCTCAAGAGTGAGGTCACTCTCGTGAAGAGAGCCATGGCTAACGGACCAGCCCCGGTGCAATCCGTCCCACGTGCTGATGTTCCAAGACCGAAGAACTTCGGAGGTTCAAGGAACGCGAGGGAGTTAGAGAACTTCCTTTGGAGTCTTGAGCAATACTTCAAGGCATCCGGCATCCAAGAGGATGAGGTAAAACTTCGTACCGCTCCACTATACTTGGTCGATGTTGCAATGGTATGGTGGAGGCGACGTGAAGCGGACGTCGAAAGAGGTACTTGTGTGATGGTAACGTGGGAAGATTTCAAGAGAGAAATCAAGAAGCAGTTCTACCCGGAGAACGTGGAGTTTGAAGCCCGTTCGAAGTTGAGAAGACTCACCCAGAGGGGTGGAGTTCGAGAATACGTGAAAGAATTCTCGGAGCTGCTTCTAGAGATCCCGGACATCACGGACAAGGAGGCCATGCACGGCTTTCTTGATGGGCTGCAACCATGGGCCAAGATGGAGATGCAACGTCGAGGAGTGCAAGACCTTGCAACTGCCATGGCCACGGCAGAGTCTTTTGTTGAGTACAAAAGGCAAGAGAGCAGCGGCAAATAGAAGAGTTCGAAGCCCAACAAGGGTGGAGAACAGCAGAAGCCTTTCAAGGAGGGCACTCGCGCTCAACAACACCAAGGTGGTTCGAGCAAAGGGGGTAAGTACGAGCCAAAACCCATGTCTTGCTTCCTTTGCGACGGACCACATCGAGTGCGGGATTGCCCAAGGAAGGCGAGATTGGCGGCCATGGAAGCTCAAGAAGAGGAGCCCAAGGCGGCGGAGGCCAAGATTGGCTCAATCCGCAAGCTTGGCGCGGCAAAGACCGACGTCAAGGAGAGCAAGCGTGGGAGGTGCTATGTTCTGGCGCAATTCATGCAAGGCGAGTCAAAAGCCTTGGTGGATACCGGTGCCACGGACAACTTCCTTCGCATCGAGGAGGCAAACCGGCTGGGTATTGCTTACGAGAAGGGGCAAGGGAGGCTCAAGACGATCAATTCGGAGTCCATCCCAATCCATGGAGTTGCTCACAACGTGCCAATGAAGCTCGGCGAGTGGGAAGGTCTCATCGACTTTTCCGTCGTCACCATGGACGATCACCCAGTCATCCTCAGCATCAACTTCCTCGACAAGGAGGGAGTGCTCTTGAAGCCCAACTCCAACACGATGTGCTTGGAGAAGGAGGGGGAGTTCCATACGATCCATCTCTTGCGAGAAGATGGCCCCCATAGTGCTTTATCGGCAATGCAGGTATTGAAGGGGTTCAAGAAGAATGAACCAACCTTTCTTGTGTCCTTGAAAATGGAGGAAGAAGGAGGCTCAGCGGGAATCACAACTCCCATCATCGAAGGTGTCCTCGAAGAGTTCGACGACGTGATGCCATCGGAGTTGCCCAAGAAGCTGCCACCAAGAAGAGAGGTGGACCACAAGATCGAGTTGGAGCCGGGAGCGAAGCCCCCTTCGCGAGCACCATACCGCATGTCGCCACCGGAGCTAGAGGAGTTGCGGAGGCAGCTCAAGGACTTGGTGGACGCAGGCTACATGCGGCCATCGAAGTCACCTTTTGGAGCACCGGTGCTGTTCCAAAAGAAGAAGGAAGGGTCGTTGCGCATGTGCATCGACTATAGAGCCATCAACAAGTTGACGGTGAAGAACAAGTGGCCGATTCCCAACATTGGCGATCTGTTCGACCAGCTTGGAGATGCTATGTGGTTCACCAAGCTAGATCTTCGCTCGGGCTACTATCAAGTGCGGATAGCAGAGGGCGACGAGCCAAAGACGGCTTGTGTGACGAGGTATGGCTCTTACGAGTTTCTTGTGATGCCATTCGGTCTCACCAACGCACCAGCCACGTTTTGCACTTTGATGAATCAAGTGTTCGAGCCATTCTTGGACCGGTTTGTCGTGGTCTACTTGGATGACATCGTCGTGTATAGCAAAACACTCGACGAGCATGCCGAGCACCTACGCCAAGTCTTCCAAGTCCTTCGCGACAACGAGTTGTATGTCAAGAGGGAGAAGTGCACATTTGCCGCCGCGGAGGTTCCATTCTTGGGGCACATCATTGGTGGAGGCAAGTTGAAGATGGATGGAGCGAAGGTGCAGGCAATCCAAGAATGGGAGCCGCCGACGAAGGTGCCAGAGTTGCGGTCATTCCTCGGCCTTGCCAACTACTATCGGAGGTTTATCAAGGGCTACTCCAACATTGCAGCACCCTTGACGGATCTCTTGAAGAAGAACAAGGCGTGGGATTGGTCAGAAAGGTGCCAAGAAGCATTCGAGGCCTTGAAGCAAGCAGTGGTGAAGGAGCCCGTGCTCGTGCTCCCCAACCTGACGTTGGCCTACGAAGTGCAGACCGATGCATCTGACTTTGCAATTGGAGGCGTGTTGATGCAAGATGGGCATCCCATTGCCTTCGAGAGTCGGAAGCTTAGCGAGACGGAGAGGCGATACACCGTTCAAGAGAAGGAGATGACGGTCGTGGTGCATTCATTGCGCACGTGGAGGCACTACTTGTTGGGGTCAAAGTTCGTAGTGAAGACGGACAACGTGGCAACGAGCTACTTTCTTACGCAGAAGAAGCTCACCCCCAAGCAAGCAAGGTGGCAAGACTTTTTGGCCGAGTTCGACTTCGTCATGGAGTACAATCCAGGCAAGGCGAATTCCGTTGCCGATGCTCTTAGCCGCAAGAGTGCCGCCGCAAGCATCAGCCAGCCCATGTTTCCTTTGAAGGAGCGGATCGTTGAAGGCCTTGGCCATGACCCCTTCGCCAAAACCGTAGCGGAGTACATCGAGCAAGGCAAGACTCGACGGTTTTGGATGAAGGATGGGCTCATCATGACCAAGGGAGAGCGCGTGTTCGTGCCAAGGTGGGCCAACTTGAGGAAGGAGATCATGAAGGAGTGCCATGATTCCAAGTGGGCGGGCCATCCCGGCATCGAGAGAACACAAGCGCTCATCGAAGAAGCATACTTCTGGCCGCGTATGAGAGACGACGTGGAGATGTATGTGAAGACTTGTCTTGTGTGCCAACAAGACAAGATGGAGCAGAGAAGCCCGGCAGGCTTGTTAGAGCCCTTGCCCACACCTCAACGACCATGGGAGAGTGTAAGCATGGACTTCATCATCGGACTTCCCAAAGTCGATGGATGCGGTTGCATCATGGTTGTGGTGGACAGATTCTCGAAGTATGGAGTGTTCATCCCCGGCCCAAAAGACATGACGGCAGAGGATGCGGCGCGACTGTTCTTCAAGAACGTGGTCAAGTATTGGGGCGTTCCTAGCAACATCGTGAGCGACAGAGATGGGCGCTTCACGGGCAGATTTTGGCGAGAGTTGTTCAAGATCATGGGCTCATACTTGAACTTCTCGACGGCGTTTCATCCTCAAAGCGACGGGCAGACGGAGCGGGTGAATGCCTTGTTGGAAGTGTACTTGCGACACTACGTGAGTGCAAACCAACGAGATTGGGTGAAGTTGATGGATACGGCACAATTCTCCTACAACTTGCACCGCAGCGAGTCGACCAACACGAGTCCATTTGAGTTGGCGACGGGGCAGCAACCTTTGACACCTACGACGGTGGCAACGGGGTATAGAGGCAACAGTCCGGCAGCCTACAAGTTCGCTAAAGGCTGGCACGAGAAGATGGAGATGGCCAAGTCTTACTTAGCCCGCGCTAGTAAGAAGATGAAGAAATGGGCGGACAAGAAGAGGCGGCACTTGGAGTTCGAAGAGGGAGACATGGTGATGATCAAGTTCTACCCTCATCGCTTCAAGCATCTCAAGAACGTGCACAAGGGACTGCTTCGCCGCTATGAAGGGCCATTCCCCATCGTGAAGAGGATTGGCGCGGTGGCATACAAGGTTGAGTTGCCGACGCACTTGGAGATCCATCCGGTCTTTCATGTGAGCCAACTCAAGCCTTTCCACGAAGACAAGGATGATGAGCAACGAAGAGAGTCGCAGCGCGCTCCAACACTCATCACCAAGACACACGACCATGAAGTTGAAGAAGTCATGGCGCGTCGTGTCATTCCTCGTCGTGGCGTACATCCAAGCTTTGTGGAGTACTTGGTCAAGTGGCGCAACCTTCCGGAAAGTGAAGCAACTTGGGAGAAAGAGCTCACGCTTTGGAAGAACAAGGACTTGATCGAGGCATTTCATCAAGAGGACGCGACGAGGGCGTCGCGAGCATAGGTGGGGGAGGATGTCACATGTGGCCGATGACATGGCGCCAACAAGGTGACAACAAGGCTGCACATGTGTCATGCATGGAAGACTAGTAGCATAGAGATGCTCCTAGGATTCTCCACCTTAATAGAGAGCTTAATGGTGCACTTATTAGCTACATTATGGTAGTATTTATAGAGTGCATAATGGGGGGACTTAATGGGTGTATTGATGTAGTAGAGGGACATTATGAGGGGCATTGATGCCTTGTATGAGGAGAGGCCTATATAAGGAGCCATCTCCCTCACTTGTAACTCATTCCATCATTTTTGAGAGTAATACACACTAGAGAGTTCTCCCAATCCTTTGTCTTGTGTTCTTGTTCTTTGCTTTCAAGTGAGTTGAGAGAAAGGCTGCCTAGCGCTCTAACGGAATTGAGAGCTAGGGCCACACGATCGAGAGTAAGGTCGTGACATTCTCCCGCGGGGGAATCATGGAGTCACAGAGGCGGAGGCAAGGATGATCGGCTGAGCAGGAACTCGAACGGCGACGGCCTGGGACGCGCTGAGCAAGAGCTTTAGGCAGGCGCAGTGCGTGTTGGACCAGAATCGGGGCCTTATAGAGCAGGTGAACGCAAACCACCAGTCCAAGATCCCGGAGAATCTCACCAAGAACGTCTCCCTGATCTGCGAGATCAACGGCAACATCTCCAAGGTCATGTCCATTTACTCCGATCTTTCTGTCAATTTCACCAACATTGTGCAGGAACGCCGCCGAAGCAAGCGCCAAGCAGGCGATCACGGCAATGAATAATCCGCCATGTCATGGAAATCCGATTTCATCACCTTACCTTATGCGCTCTTTTGCTGTCGTTGCGTCAAGTAGCAAACTGAAAATTTGAATTCAGTCCAAATCGGTCCCTGTCTCGTGGAATGTTTCCCTTGTGTAAGCGTCGTCAGAATAATCTGGTTTTGCTCATCAGCTGTTTGTTGTTATGTCTGTTCTATGCTCTGCTCTCTAGTAAAGATGATGTGATTAGCCAGTGGCGGAAGACCGCCATATCCTACCACCATCCGAATACTTGCTCTGTTTCGTTCGATTTTGCTGCGTTCTTGATAATCCCTTCCTGTGTCTTTTGCTTCAGACTGATTGAATTGCCATCTTTCTGGGGCTGAATGCTATGCTTTCCAGTTCATTGGGGGATGATTTGGGAACATACTGCAATTGCAGAAGATGACAGACTAGTTATTGAACATTTAGAGATCGTGTTAGAATGTCGTTGGTGTAGTCGTTCTGTCGGTCGCATTTTCTTTTTCACTAGTTTGCTCACTGCTTTCTAGTTGTTATTTAAGTTTGTTGCTTCCGGAAGAGTTTTTGACAATATGTCATTTAGCCGAAATTCTGATCTCAAACTCTCGGGGAAGCACAGAAGACAAAGTTGTCACTAATAAAGCCAAACCCAAATCATCTTTAAACCTTGGACTAAGAACATTCAACTTGCATATGATGAAGGATTGTTCTGTTCTGCGAACATCTAGCATTAACGACAGCACTACAAAAGGATTATCAAAGGTTCAGGCTACATCTCCCACAACGCCTCAGGTGTACAAGAGTTGAGAGCAAGCTTATGAGAGTCTAAAGCACTGACAACTGTGGGGGCACCTAGAACAGCAAAAGGCAAAACCGAGGCACTTATAGAGGCAGTTCACCGCTGTCTGCAATCACAACCTTGGCCTTGGGTGTACCATCTTGCCTTCCTTCAGCTTCAATCTTGTACACCACATCCATTCCAGATATCACTTTCCCGAATACAACATGCCTGCCATCCAGCCTGCAAAACATTTGAAGAATTTCACCTCGGTTAAAAAAGGGATGCAATTAATCTCTGCATTGCATCAGAGAATCGTGCAAATTACCAGCTAGTTGTGACAGTGGTGATGAAGAATTGTGAGCCATTGGTGTCTTTACCAGCATTCGCCATTGACAGAAGACCTGTGAAAAAAGAAGAATATAGGACCATTGGGCGAGGTTAGGAAGGAGTGCAAGGTGCTTTGCTGGAGCAGCCCTATCGACTTGATAGGTAACAAAAAGGAGAATCTAACCAGGGCCAGTGTGCTTCAACTTAAAGTTCTCGTCAGCAAACTTCTCCCCGTAAATAGATTCTCCACCTCTTCCATCGCCATGGGTAAAGTCACCTCCTTGGATCATGAAACTAGGAATAATCCTGTGGAATGAGCTGCCTTTGTAGGTCAGAGGCTTCCCACTCTTCCCGATACCTTTTTCACCTACAATGAAAGAAGGCAATGGCAAATCGTACAGTCAGCTTTGAAAGACATTCAGCATTTCATATATGTTGGTCTTTTTCCACCTCATAATGAAGTGAGAAACAACATCCAGCAGAAACACTGCGCATGGTCGAGATCAGGAGCATTCTCATCATGGGGGCAAACAGAGGTGAAAGAGAATCAAGATTAACAGCTTACCTGTGCACAAAGCTCTAAAATTCTCTGCAACACAAAAATAACAGAAGATTTTCTTCAACAACATGCTAAATAAAGGGCAAAGAGGAAGGGAATAACAAAAACAGGCTACCCAGTGAAGCCTTACCTACAGTTTTAGGAACAGCCTTGCCGAAGAGACCCATGACAATTCGGCCTGATGCAAGTGATCAAAGACAGTCTTCAGTTCAGTATCAAATGGCATAAATGCTTTACATTAAGCATGAACAGGTAAGATACTATGGCATAAATGATCATACAGTCTATCGTACTAAACCGCAGACCAATTTCAGTCTCGGTTTAGTCTTGCCCAAACCGAAGTCACCAAAGATGGCGAGTATCGGAATACCAGAGAACAGTAAAACACAGCATCCAGTCGCCACCATCTTTCAATTCACGGAATAGATACACCCATATACATACATATACACTGTAACCGGGCAACATCACTACAATTATAAGAGATTCAGATCAGAACGTACCGGCGGGCTTTCCGTTGATCTCTATGTCAAAATAAACTTTATTGGTGATCTCCTTCAAATTCTCGTCGGATTTCTTCGCCTGAGAAAAATTAAGTCAAGCGAGATTCATTTAGATACTGCACAGCTATTGATCGATTCGGGAGACAATGGGATCTACGATGTCAGATCTATTTGTTGGATAGGATCGAACTCTCAAAGCTGAAACGTTCGAAGTTAATTGATCGGGGCAAAAGGTCAGAAGCCGAGGATTTTTTACCTGGCTGAGAGCTAGGGTTCCGAATAGCACCACGCTCCATAGCAGAGCCACCGCCAATGATTTAGAGCTCCACATCTTTTCTCTTTGCTTCCCCTCGGTCTCTCAGTCACTTGAGTGAGCTGCGATAGCTTAGCAGAAGGAAAAGTGGAAATATAAGGGAGATCGGAGGAGGGTTTGGAAGGGGAGGGATGGCGACAAATATTTTTCTTTTTTTAGCAAAATTGCAGAGGTGGAATGCTGTTCAATCAATGCGAGCCACGTGTTCCGTTGAATATTTTACTTACGTCCCATTGGCTGAAGGGACGTGGTGAACGGGGAAAAGCGTGAAAGGTTTTGAGCGAACTCCGGATGGCGGAGAGCGTTTTACCGGGTTCTTTTTTTAGCTCGATTAAAGGTCGGCCGGTTGGCCGGAATAAGTGGAAGTTCAACGGTATATGTTTGGGTAAATTGCAAGTTTCATCACTCGATTTATTAAAAAGATTCATGTTTGGTCATTAAAAATATTTAATTTCATTCGTGGTCACTTAAATTAGTTCAATCATTCGAGTTTGGTCACTCTCCGTCCAACTCCGTTAACTTTTGCTGATGTGGCAGTCAACTCTCATAATTGAACGTTAAATGAGTGACGTGACAATTTAAAAATAACTAAATTATTAAATTATTTTTTTTTAAAACATTCCAACTCATTTTTGTGATTATTTAAAAGAAAAACCTAAAATAAAATAGAGCTTCTAGACGGTTTTCCGACGATAGATCCCTCAGACTGCGAGATTTGTGGGGGGGGGGGGGAGGAGGAAGGAGTCAAACTAGATTCTCATCGTCGTAGCCTGTACCCTTGCATTCTACTGATCGGGAAGAGGGTGGTGGGCACTTGATCGGGGAGTCGCAGAGGTATTACTGCCCGTTCTTAGTGTCAAGAACCAGTTGCTCCCAATAACTCGAGTTATTGGGAGAGGTTCAATCGTGGATCTTATACCACTCTCTAACACTTAGGACTGCTCGGCGAGGAGGACAAAATGGAGGGAGGAGGGAAATTGATAAGTGGAAACTACGCAGGTCCTGAGTGAAATCAGGGAGGCCAATGGTATGGTGGAGAATCCTGTTGGTTCCGTAATCGTTGTAGTTAGGGCCTCCGACGATGCAGCAGCCAATGTTGGTGAGTCCAGGCTCGGCAATGAGATGATTGAAGAGAGTGAGGTTGAAATCTCCGGGGATGGTGAAGACGTCAGTGATGCCGACCTGGAGGAGACGGCAGGCCGAGAGCGACCTCGCGATTCTTGCAAAACCAAAGAGAACTCGTCCGAGGCCATGAATCCATAATCTCATTCCTCCCCATGAACCCCCTGCTTTCCCTCTGCCATCAACAGAATCATGTCCAGTAAAACCAATTTCCAGGTCACCATGACGGCTAGTTCATCCCGCCTCCTAGGGGTGTACATGGGTCCGGTGGTTCGGGCTTAGCCATTTTAATCACTCTGCCCATACACTACTTTTTGAGAAATATTAAACCGAAAACCACCCATAAAAATTAAAACCCTACGTTTTGTTTCTAATTGGGTTGGGTCGGGTTGACGATATTCTTAAGTAAAAACCAACCCAACACAAAATATGTAATTATTGTACACCATAAAAATATTTTATAACTAATTAAAATTTCAAACGAATAAACTGAGGGAAAGGTATCAAAATTCAAAATTGTTGTTTAAATTTTAATAAAATGTGATTTACTTCAACATATGTCTAGTTTTTTTCACGATATTTGTTGAAGTAGGCTAAAAATATTATAAACGAATGCATCCATCATATGTTATTCTATGAAAATTGTACACAAGAAAAGGATTACGTGAATCATAGCTATATTAAATCTATGTCTAAACTTTAAGTCGAAGAATGCATTAGATTAAGGAGACCGTGAGAGAAAACCATGGCGAAATATCTTAATTTTCACATAAGTATGGCTATATACGACATAAATATTTTTTGGATACAAACTCATACCAATAGTTGGAACACAGGTTGAGTCGGCTTCTACGGTTGTATAATCCAAAATCCAAACCCAACCCAAAAGAGGCGGGTTGTACAAAAGAAAACCCTCACCCAACCCAAAATCTTAATTTTAGCAATAAATACGGGTGGGTTGGGTCAGATTGAACGAGTGGGTCGGTTTGCGAGTGTGTTTGTTTACCCCTACTGTCGCGACCCAAACTACAACTCCTCCAGCTGCTTCAGCAATGACACTGGTGGCTCCTCCTCCACTTCCGACGAGCAGCAGATGAGGATCGTCGACGAGCGGAAGTAGAGGTGGATGATCTCCAATAGGGAGTTGACCCGCCGCCCCAGGATAAGCAAGCAGAGGCACCTTGACGATCTATGTTCCTAGGTTCTCCGGCTCTGCAGCGACAACCAGAGCTTGCTGACAACGAGATTTGTTCCTCGAGGGGCATCGGGCTTGTTGTTGTTGGGGCCTTAGCTTTCGAATGGAGCTCAAAATTTGAGACGGGAGGGTTGGGGACGGATTCCCGGAGGAAGATCTGGATGGAGAAGAGGTCTATCACCGGAAAACCATCAACGTGCTGGGAGGGAGGGGAGCAGCTCTATTTTATTTTACCTTATTTTTCAGGTTTTTCGTTTATTTTAATTTTTTAATAATTACGAAAATGAGATGGAAAATTTTAAATATTAAATTTAAATATTTATTTATTTTTTAATTGTCACATCACTCATTTAACGGTCAACTATGAGAGTTGACTGCCACATCAGCAAAAGTTAACGGAGTTGGACGGAGAGTGACCAAACTCGAATGATTGAACTAATTTTAGTGACCACAAATGGAATTAAATATTTTTAGTGACCAAATGTGAACCTTTTTTATAAATCCAGTGACCAAACTTGCAATTTACCCTTATATGTTTGGTGTGTTTACTTGGTGGTTAATTGCATTAGATGTCATTTAAATTTCAGATTTGTTGCACATTAACCACTTAAATTCATTTGGTTGCAACTAAAGCACTTAAACTCAAATTTCGTTGTACAGTTGTCTTTTCCGTCCAAAAACTTAACGGCGAGTATGAAAATGAAAATTTTCATCCACGTAAATATGCCAACTCAGTCTAAATTGCTTTGTCCCATAGTACTGAACAAAGTTCCAATCGAGGACTTCTACCTTCCCTTGCTATGGCGTCTCCCTCTTGATTGATTGAACCAGGCGTTGCACTGTCGTTGCCGAAGTGAAGCGAAGAATAATTTGTTGAGACTGCCGGCACAATTCTACAACAACCTAGGTCCAGAGAAATGAATCTTTACATTCACGACCTCTCTCTACTCGACTCCGGCGACTTCCCTGATCCATTCCTCGATCGCTTTTCCCTTTCTCATCTCAACCCTTCTCCATCCTCTTGGTCATCATCAACCTCTTCAGCTCCATCTCTGCGCCATGACAACACAGCCACTAACGCCAATCAAACCACTCCACCGCATTGTTACGACAGAATTTTGCCGCTTCAATTCGTTTAAATTGACGGGCAGACTCTTATGGAACTGAATTTTATTCTGGAATATCTTGATTGAAATTGGGAGGTACTCTGAATCAGTGAAGTTTAATTAATTGACCATATTCTTGCAGAATAGAGCTTTTAATTGTGGAATGGGTTATTGACTGATCGCCGTCTTCCACCGACATCTGGACGCTTCCGATGAATACCTTACGGGGGAGTAAATAGTGAGGGAACATAGAGATCACTCTTCTGGAAAGACTACAACGGAGGTGTCGGGAAGGGCGACCGATGAAGCTGGTTCCGAAGTCCACCAAACGAACACAGACCACATGGTGGATTTTCGGCCTTTGAGCCTGATCAGGTTGGGTTGTGTTCGTTAGGGGTCGTCTTGTTTGAGGTTTTTTGTGACAGGCCGGCGTTGTGGTCCATCTCCTTACGTCGCTATTTTTCTTGGCAAATTCTGAAAGTGAAAATGATACGAAGGGAGAGTGGCTTGATACGAAGACGACGCCGGGGTTTAGGAGGGTAGGGGAAGCGACGCCGGCGGTGAAGATGGTGGGTGACTGCGACGGGTGGTTGATGAAGGAAGCGCCACCGGCGAAGGCAGAGGAAGACGCCATGGCAAGGGATGGTAGAAGTCCTCGGATTAGAACTCTGTTTTGTACTATGTGACACAATAATTTAGACTGAGTTGACATATTTACATGGATGGAAAATTACATTTTCATACTTGCCGTTAGGTTTTTGGATGGAAAAATTACTATGCAACGAAATTTTGGTTTAAATGCTTTAATTGCAACCAAATAAATTTAAGTGGTTAATATGCAACCAGTCTGAAACTTCAATGGCATCTAATGCAATTAACACGTTTACTGGGATTGTAAGCAGTGGCGGACCCAGGATTTTTGAATAGGTTTGTTGGTTGACTAAATAAAATAAAATAAATTATTAATTAAAAATTATTCATATTAAATTAAAATTTCATTAAATAATTAATTCATAAAGTTTACAATGTCATTACCTCTTACAACAAATCACGACGACTTTTCATATTCTCAACTGTTTGTAATTATTCTGGAGGCCAAACGACGTTATTTTTTCCTTTGGTTTGCGCATTACGCCTCTTTTCCTTTTGAATTCTAAGCTGAACATTTGAATATTTATAGGTGGGAAAAATCAAAATTTTCAAGTGCTGTGTGCTGACTTCGTAGTGACGTGACGGATTGACCCTTAGTTAACGCGTTTGATCGTCCAAGGTAACTGTCAAATTTTGAGTTTGACCAATTTCGTAACTTTGATGCATAGTTGAGGCCACAGAGTTATAGATCGAAAAGATTGACCAGGATGTTTAATTTGTGTAAAGTTCGTGCCATACAAATATATTAACCCTTATTCTTTCATATATCCAAACTAAACCGATCGAATCATTAACCCTCAACCTTCTTGCTCGACTTTATAACAATAAATTTAAATTTTTGGGCGAAAGTGTGTCGGACGACACACCATGCCGACACTTGGGTCCGCCACTGATTATAAGAATTAAATATTTTTTTATAAGCCATAGTCAATAATATCAAAATATTAAAAGACTAATATAGCCGATTTGTTGGCCGGATAATTTCATTTTATTTTTTATACTAATTCAATTATCAATATGTATTAAAAAATTTAGATCTTAGTACTTAATAGTTAGTACACTCGTTAATAATGAATCATATTGTGAATGTTTATTACGTCCCATTTAGGATCGAATATCACGATTTTTCATCCAAGAAATCAAATTTATTATCTTATACAACATATCTCAATTTGTGATTCTATAGTTTGGATGAACTCTCAACCAACTTATGAGAGTTCAAATTATTGGATAAAGATACTTGATTCTGGATAAATTCAGTTTATCGTAATTGAAACTTGACCAACATCGTATCTCTTATTATGATTAAATTCTCTAATCCTCGCTCATTTTCATTGTGAATGTTCTTAAAGTCTTGTTATAGGATCTTATGACATAATTTGACCTCAACCCATGGTTGTTGTCTAGATGTTGATTTATAATTTCAATCCAAGACATTCACATACATTATCGATGGTTCTCGTCTTAACATGATTCTTTCGTGTATAATTTTCCAAATATTTGAATGGACATTCGCTAAAATTTCTTCTCTTTGGTATTTGTTCATACAAACATTGTGACATTTCCCATGTATTTGAATTCTTGGACGTATCGTAAGCACATATATTGTTAATATCTAAACATAATATATAAAGAGTTTATTGTATTCTCAACCATAATCAATGCCATTGATTTCGGCTTGTTGGGTGGAATACGAAAATATTTTTTTTACTAGGGTAATTCGATATAAATAAAATTTGTTTACTCTTACAAACTTAAATATTTTATTTTAAGACTTTGTTGTCAGACATTTTTTTGGTACAATAAAAATTTGGTATGGAATCACATGATCACATCGATATAGCCAAATTTGGTATGAAATGTTATCATAGCCCATTTGTAAAAAAAAAACTCAATGTTTAAGAATATTATATAAAAATAATGTATCCAACTGTAATTAAATGGAAATCTACCCTAAACAATGACTTTTCTGTTTTATATTTGAAACTTTTTTGTCAAACTCTTGATCACATACACGTGCTTATTTAATATTTCCCACCAGTATCGGGAACATAGTTATGTTGTTAGGCACTTTTGGAGTACAACATTTCATCGAGAAAATGAATTCTCGCCGTCCATTAAAGAAGCATGTGATGTGATGATGAATGAGAGATAAGAAACATTGCCGAAAATGGATTGACTCCGGAGACGGTAGGGGAAAAAGCAAACAATTTAATTAGTCGAGCAGAGAGAAAGGCGGAGAAATATCTCTGGCCTTAGAAAGTTGAGCTGAATCTCCCAAAAAAAGGGAGAGAGAGCAGAAAATCTCTATACCAAATAGGCTGACTACCCACCATTTGAAGATGACATTGGTTTCTCCTTCCATCTTCTCTTTTTCTCCAAAACCACGACGCCCCTCCTCCCTCTTGTGCTGCAGCTATTCTCCAACCCAATTACAATGGTGGCTCCGCCAAGGCTCTCACCCCCTCGTTCGCCCTCCTATCTCCTCCCTGCCCTAGTCGCTTTAGCCCTTTTCACCCTCTTTTTCCTCTACAAGGTAAGATGAATGATCATCCATTTCCCTGAATAGTGAACCCTCTGATTTTTTCCTTCTAGTTTCCATGATAATTCATGAATAACTGTTGGTTGGGAAATTTCGTCAAACAGGTAGATGACTTCGCAACGAGCATCAAAACGATGGCTGGCCACAACTTGGAGCCCACCCCCTGGCACGTTTTCCCGGCCAAGAGCTTCGACGATGAAACCCGTCAGTCTCGAGCTTACAAGATTATACAGTGCTCCTACCTCAGCTGTCCTTATTTCAATAGAAGCATCATCGAACGACCTCATTTTAGCTCCTCCAAACCCGCTGCTCAGTGCCCAGAATTTTTCAGCTACATCCACCGGGATCTGGCGCCTTGGGCTAAAACCGGGATAACAGAGAATCAAGTCATGGAGGCCAAGAACTTTGCGGCGTTCCGCATTGTCATCTTCCAGGGAAGGCTGTATTTGGATCCTTACTATGCTTGCTTCCAAAGTCGAATGATGGTGACAATATGGGGATTTGTACAGCTGTTGCGGAAGTACCCTGGCATGGTTCCTGATGTTGATCTCATGTTTGATTGCATGGACAAGCCTATTCTTAACCGGACTGAACGCCAGTCCAACCCTGTGCCTCTATTTCGATATTGCACTACTCGTGAGCATTTCGACATTCCTTTCCCAGATTGGTCCTTCTGGGGTTGGTAAGAGCATATATTTATTTAATTTACCTTCATTTTGTATTATGTCTATATACTCCCCCTTTCTAGAACTCAAAACCAGTTTGGTTTGTTGTGCAGGTCAGAGATTAATATTCGGCCATGGAGCGAGGAGTTTCCGGACATAAAAAAGGGCTCTCAAACTAAAAGATGGCCGAAAAAGCAACCTCGTGCATTCTGGAAGGGAAATCCAGACGTTGTTTCCCCTGTTCGTCTAGAGTTGTTGCAATGCAATGACTCCAGGAAATGGGGAGCACAAATTATGCGACAGGTCTAGTTTTTAAATAATATTTTTTTGTCGTCAAAGATATACCTTCGAGGAAGGTTTTCGGTGAAGTTGTTACTGAGGCTTGTCTCTGTGTGTTGCAGGATTGGGTGCAAGAGGCAAAAGAAGGTTTCGAGGCCTCCAAACTATCAAATCAGTGCAACTATCGGTGAGTGTGCTTTACTTGGTTGTGTCATCTACTTATTAACTTGGAAGTGCAATATATCAAGAACAGTGCCTTGAGAGCACCTAGGAAGATGGTTGTGTGATCAACAAGATTATTTCTTTGCTTTGGCGTGACTGTGATCATAAAGGATTGAAAGAAAGACCATAATGAAATATGCATTATGTAGCCCATTTCTTATAAGGATTCATTTTCTTCATGTTGACTGGATCGATCAGCCTATTCCCTTTTGAAGTCATTTGTTTCCTACTGATAACAAAGACTTAGGAGACCGACTGGCAGCTGGTGATTGACTTTGCCTCTGTTTTCGTTGCTCTTTTCCTCTGTTTGTAGGTACAAGATCTATGCAGAAGGCTTTGCTTGGTCCGTTAGTTTGAAATATATCTTATCTTGTGGTTCCATGACCCTAATAATTTCACCACAGTATGAGGATTTCTTCAGTCGTGGCCTCATTCCCAAGAAAAATTATTGGCCGGTATCTCCTGTCGACTTATGTAAATCGATAAAGTCGGCTGTTGACTGGGGGAATACACACCCAGCTGAGGTATTGTTTCAGTTATCTACCAACTTCTGATTTTGTACTTGATTACATCAACATCTCAACTTGGATGTCGTTTTGCTTGCATCTCTCACCAACAGGCTCAAGCAATTGGTCAAGCAGGACAGGACTTCATGGCGAGCTTGAGTATGGACAAAATCTACGACTACATGTTCCACCTCATCACTGAATATTCCAAGCTCCAGATGTTCAAGCCTGTCCCACCTCCCTCTGCGCTTGAGGTGTGTCCAGATTCTGTCTTGTGCTTTGCTGACGAGAAACAAAAGTTATTCCTTAAAAAATCTACAACTTCCCCCTCATTGGAGCCTCCCTGCAACCTCCCGCCTGTCGACGACAATGCCAACAAGCGCTGGATGGACGAGAAGCAAAAATTGCAGGAGGAAGTTAGGCAAATGGGGCAACAACCTAAACCATGATAGGAATTTTGGTAGAGCATGGACCTCTATTTTGAATTGTAAAAATAGAACGAATAAGAAATGTATGTTTTAAGTAATTGGTCCTAAGAGAAAATATACGTGTGTGGAATTTAGTAGATTAGTGATTATCTTAGGCTGGTAACCATTTTTTCTCATTTTTTGTACAAGTGCCCCCATTCATTATGATAATAATCATTTAGGTTTGCTTAAACACAATTCAATATGTAAAATTGTTTGTAATTTTTTTAGGTAAATATTCTTCCAAGCTTAACCTGGTAGCACAAACTTTTTTGTGATGACTGTTATATGACGATAGGGATGTAGGAGGGTTTTGTTTTTACAGAGTATGTGTTGAGCGTTTGGATTGCATTCCTTCCTTAAGTGTGTGTATCCTTGTTTTAGCGATTATTGAAGTCCATAAATTGGATTGTTTTTCAGTTACTCCAGTATTTACTATTTAGAGGAAATCATATTTATGTTAATATTGAATTAGATTGCATATATTGCTTTTCATTACACTCAATTGTGTGTGCACCTCATTCCATCAATAAAATGAAACTTATCAAAGCAAAGGATCATTTATGTTTTAAACTATAAGTTCTCTTCAACCATTCATGTCCCATGGGGCCTTACCACGGAATAAATTCTCAATAATACTCAAAACACTCTCATCGTCAACACTAAACATCAAATAATTAAACTCTGCAAGAAATTCAGAATTACATTGCAACCCAATCCTAGATATTGCATTTTGCGCAACGTGAAATATGCACATACCATAAAAAACGGACCTTATACCATCAACTATTGCAAGAGCTTGATCAATGAACATGAATTGCAGGTACTTCGTTTTCCATGCATGGCAAGAATGTATCAAACAACCACTCACACACCGTCTTACTCTCATTATATAAAAGGTCGCCACCAAAGACATTGAGCTAGTGATGTTTGTTTTATCCAACAAATAAAGTTGTTATAAATGCTAAAGATACATCATTAACCTGCTACACTGCTAAGATAATTGTACCACAATGGTAAGATTATAACTCTGTGATATGATATAAAAGAATACATCACACAAACACAAAATCAAAACACATAAAACTCACCAAGTGGGCGATGCTCGTTTATTCGTGTTATGCGTGGTTACAAAACTAATAGAATCACAAAAAACTAACTATTTATCTGCATTTTCTCACAAGTTATAAGCTCAAAATATGCTTGCAATGTAAACTTTAATATCAACAACCACCTCATAAAGCACCTTTGATCTACATTCATCTAATGTTATTCTTCGCATTAACTTTCCCAAAACCTACATTCTTTCATCCACCATAAGCATTACTGTCTGCATTATATGATGTTGTAATACATGTCAGTAGCTTCATTGACATCTAACAACAACTTAATTTGAACTCATATACTCACTCAACAAAGGAGAGATATTGTCATGATTGTGCGCATTTCGTCATTTATATACCTTATAATAATTGAACTCTTTGAACCATCTCAAACAAATAAAGCAGCATTGTAATCCTTCCTTGTGTCAATCTCCCTGTGTACTTAGAGTTTTTTTTTTACTCTTTTCCCTTCACTTCACCTAAACAAAGCCAAAATTAACGAACAAATACAACCGAAGACGAACTCAAGAAAAATAAAGTGAGTGATGTCGCCTGTTATAACTCGGAGAAATATGAAAGAACGAGATCTAACAAAGCAAAATTCAACAGAGACCGAGTTCCTTGAATTGAGAAGATCTTGCCTAATGCAGAGATTTGATAACCCTAATCGAGACATTTGAGTGAGAAAGAATCAAGAGGAAATCCCGCCCATAGAGAAAACACGTCATTAAAATAAAAACGAGAGCACAAAATAAGCGTAGATTTAAAATTGAAATTGTGACACAAATACCCATAGGGGTGGACATTCAGTCGGTTTGGTTTCGACAGAACCGAAATTATGCATACCAGGTCCCCAAATTCCACCAAACCTCAAACCAAATTCGCACCGAATTATAATTCAGTTCGGTCGGTTTAAACCGAATTATAATTCAGTTCGGTTCGAAATTTCACACAAAACCAAATTTGTGAGAATACTTGTATCTTCTCCATTTTAAATTATTGGGAAAATATCACTAGGAAACCCGAACTTTCAAAAAAATGTCACTTGTTTCCTGATTTATTCAATATTTCATTTATGTCCTAAACTATTTTTTCATTAGTGTTGACCGACCTTGACAGTTAGTATTTAACAGAAAGTCTAGTCAGCGCTGATGTGGCATCTGACGTGGAATTTTAATATCCATTTTTATTTATTTTTCGATTAAAATGAATATAATTTCTGATTGTCGGCCACCCCTAGGTCATGTCCATTTTCACCACTAATGTAAACAATAAATATGTAATTCTATGCATTATCAATGATAAAATCAATCATTTCAACACATAAGTGATAAAACACTAACATGATTCAAATATTTAAGTATCAAAACAAGTACAAACATAAAAATCCACCATTTGGAGCTTGCAATTATAGTAATTCGATTTATATCTGCCTTCCGAATTTCGAACCGAACAACATTAATTATGTTTCGATTCAATTTAATTTGGTTTCAATTTGGTTCACTTCGGGTTTACCGAACCGATTGCCCACCTCTAATATCCATCCGCAAAAGTCACCGTTAAATCATGCATCTATCTAAATCTAAAAAAATATTTAAGCATTTTCTCAAACTTCCGTTCAGGAATTCAATTTTTACTTCCAGTCATGCTGCCACGTCATCACCTTATCTCTCCTCCCTACTCTATCAGAATTCCTTCTCTCTTCCGTTTGTCCCAATTCAAACAAAACTTCTTCTTTCCCCTTTCGCCGAGGCTTTTTTGGTCCCCCATTTCACAATTTGTTTTTTTCTTTCACGACAACCGGGTTTGCTTTTGAAATGGGAAAAGTTCATTTTTTCCCCTTTATATTTCGTTCACTTTTTTTTTTTTTTTTTGAATACATGGGCTTTGTACATTAATCTCCCCCAACATGGCCTTTGGATAATTCTTTTAATAATGTAATTTTTAGATTTTCTTTTAGGTGTTATGTTGTGAGTGTATCCATACTCAACACATAATAGGTATTTTACAACATATCATAAATTTTAATTGCATGTAGAAGTAATAATATCTATAAGAGTATTTTAAATTTTAGGGTGTGCCTACGGTGACATGCATGTCACGGTGATTTGCACTTTCCGGTCGACCTCAGTTAGGATTAGGTCGACCTCATATAGAATTCGGTCGACCTCATATAGGATCCGGTCGACCTCATTTAGGATTCGGTCGACCTCATATAGGATCCGGTCGACCTAATATGTTGTTTCAGTGTAAAAACAGTTCATGGTGCCTACTTTGGATATTCATATCATACAATTGGCTAGATGGAAATTGAAGACTAATGACTTGTTTTGAAGCTGGAGTGTCCCTCTACATATTGAAGTGATTGAGAGCTCGATAGGAAGTCCAGAAGACCATTTTTGAACCTCATCAAAAGGCTATGCCAAAACTGGGAAACTGCCTAGAAATGGCTAAGTCTAGAAACGCGTTTGTGAAGCCTATTTTTGAGCTCAATTCGAGAAGCATGAATGCGAGTCGAGTCCAGGAGCCTCTACCACGTTAAATTAGGTATGTTTTTATACAAATTCAAGGAATTGGATGAAAGATTGGATATCTTTAAGGCTTCAAACAAAAGGGTCGAAGTTGCTACGAAGCCTATTTTTCTGGCAGACTTCGAGCACAAACAAGCTGCCAGAAAAACAGCCTTCGTAGCAACTTCGAGCCTTTTGTTTGAAACCTTAAAGATATTCAATCTTTCATTCAATGCCTTGCCTTTGTATAAAAAAATACATAATTTAACGTGGTAAAGTCCCTTGGACTGGACTCGCATCCATGCTTGTCAAATTGAGCTCCAAAGTAGGCTTGACAAACACGTTGCCAGACTTAGCCATTTTCAGGCTGTTTCCCAGTTTTGGCATAGCCTTTTGGTCAGGTTCAAAAATGGTCTTCTGGACTTTCTATTGAGCTCCCAAGTACTTTAATGTGTAGAGGGACACTTCAGCTTCAAAACAAGCCTTTAATCTCCAATTTCCATCTAGCCAATTGTAAGATATGAATCTCGAAAGTAGGCACCATGAAACTGTTTGTACACTGAAACAACTGATTAGGTCAACCTGATCCTATATGAGGTCGACCGAAAAGTGCATGTCACCGTGACATGCATGTCACCGTAGCAAAGTCCTAAATTTTATTGAAATAGAAATGATAAGCATTTAAATTCATTGTTCAAGGGAAGACCATTTCATATGATCAGCATATTGTATAACATAAATAAATTCGATCACCTTGACTTATAATTAGTCTAAAATTTTATATATATATATATATATATATATATATATATATATATATATATATATATATATATATATATATATGGCAAAGGTTAGTTCAAACATAGTGAATTATTGATTGATGTATTGTATAAGATAATTGTTGAGTGTTATGTCTATTGCATAACAAATTCTTATAGTTGAACTTTATAAACCACCATTTAGAAATAAATATATAATTTTCACCAAAAAAAAAAGAAATAAATATATAATATAAACATCCACCAAAAGCAAGAGTCAAGACTTAGCATCACTCATAAAGTATTGTGTTTAGCTTATATATGTTGACCAAACTTACATACATTCATATTTGGGTCATACTTATATATCAAAAAAATTATTTTTGAAAAATGTATACCAAAATATTTTAAATTATAAGTATAATGCAAATTTTATTAACAGAATCTCATGTATTCATGAGAGATGACCTAAATTCCACGTTAGTCTTCCTGGAGTCATTTGGATGAGGGTTTTCTAAAATCTAGGATTGTGATTAAAATACCGCGTTTAAAAAACCAGGGAATTTAAACATAGGATTTACAAGAAATAACTCGTTTGGAATCAAACGAGGGTTTTCAAAAAACAGCCTCAAAATTACAATTGTGTCCCCAATTTTAACCCAATCTCTTCTTCACTTAACAATGGCGAAACCCTTTCTTCCCTTTGTTTGCAATTTTTTTTTCTCTTTTCTCTGCTGAAAGGAAGACAACCACGCTTTCATCATCTCTTCTCCAACTTTTGATTTGTATTTCGTCTGCCATGGTCCATCATCATCTCCGATTCCAAATCTTGTTGTCTCCACTGACCACCGATTCCAAAGCTCTGCAGCGTTGCGACAGGAGGTGCCTACTCCATTGTCATTTCCGATTCTAGATCTGCAGCAGCAACGTCTATGGCGGCAAACTTCAGCATCAACATCCATCATCAGCGCCTTCTTCGCCAGAAACCATAACCCAACACTGAGAATCCTTTG